GTTTGTCCCCGTTAGATGACGGTATGGCTCATGAAAAAGCCGCGATTGGTAATCTTCTTTACGTTATTCCTCTCAGAATAATCTCGCACTTGTTCTCAAAGGCACGCAGTACACCGTTCTTTCTGGCCATCACTGAGTGACACAGCGGCAGTAGCTCAACCATATCGTTCACTCAACCAGTTCTATCTCGCCTGCCATGTTACAGCTACCACCAGCGCAGCTTTACTTCACATTTCACAGCGTCTGACTGCCACATTGTTTACCCATCACTAATCCCCACCGAACTCATCACTAATCCTCACCGACACGGTCTTGTAGAGACTCTCGGACTTTGGCACCCTTTTGGCACCCCCTTTGGAAATGGCTGTATCCGCCTCTGGACATAACTAATGTAGCCACAGTGGAAATGCTAGGTACTAATGGATATTTAGACCCACCAATATTTTTTCAGCTCCTACACCCATGCTATCTAGCAATAAAATATTATGCAAACACTTCTTATATCCCTCGCATGTGTGCGGCGTTTGCCAGCTTCTAATGTGTAGGGGGGGTCGGTTGGACCCCCCCCCCTTGCCGTTTGGCCCCTGATCGAGGTAGAGCTTCGCGGAAAAAACGAGCGTGTTGCCCGTGACGAGAGGAAGCCGATGATACCCAATTTTAAGGTCCTAGGTCATTGGTTGACCTTCCAGGTCAGGTCAATGACCCAAAGTCGGGAAAATCGGGACCTGTTAGAAAGTCGTAAAGTGTGGCTGCTAAGGGGTTTTTCGGGGTGCTGATCACGAATATCGTGTTAGTTTTGATCACAGATGATGTCTTGAAGCATTTAGACCAGGTCGGGTCAGGTCAGGTCAGGTCAACCAGTAGGCGTCGTGACGGGTATTCGTAGTACGTGTCAACCGCCTCTGACAGCTTCGTAACATGTTACGAAGTCACCAAAACTACTTCGTAAATGTTCAAATGTTGGCTAAATTCGAATTCAGCTCCAAAAACTAGCCTAGAAACATGTAAAACTCGAAAAAGTGACCCGAGGTCACCCGAGGTCACCAAAGGTCAATGACCTGACCTGACCTTCAGGTGACCTTGACACACACGGGAGTAATATCAAATCACATGTTTGAACGTTTGAAACCACGAAAAGCTTGCAAACACGCGGCTAGTGCGAGCCGACATACGCGAAATCGCGATTCCGGCCAAACATGGTCTCGGAAAAGAGGTCACAGGTCAAAGGTCATTTGGGTCAGGGTCATGAAATTTTCAGGGTAGGTGTAAAATTGATCAATGCGAGGGTACTGAAAGTTTCGTCGCGATCGGCCGCTTTTTACGCGAGTTATTCGCGAAAAACCATGGGGGGGGGTCCATCCGACCCCCCCCCTACACATGCGAGGGTTAAACCATGCAAACCCACCACTGTCCAACCGCTCACCAGTGTGGTGACCCCTGACCCCACTGGCGTCTGGCGGTCTGCTGTTGACGGTTTGTTTACTTGGTTCAAGGTTTCAATAAATCGCGTTATTTTTTTTTGTAGCAGTAGCAGTAGTAGCACTGCTGAAGGATGATGGACTGACATTCATGGGGCGGAGGACTTTTTATCAGCTCACAACTTAATATCACGAATATGACAACCTTCTAGTCCTCCATTTATTTCACATTTTCTTTTCAAACATCATATTTTTAGTATTCAAGTTGTAGTTTTTTTAGGGGGGGCAAAAAGATATGTTTGCCCAGAGGTTTTCCGTTTAGGGGGGGGGGCAATTGCCCATTTTGCCCCAACGTAGATCCGCCACTGCCCAGGAGCCGAGCAGGGGGGTGCTCAGACACCCCGGCCCCAGGGCATATTTTAACATACTGACTGCGTCCCATTTTGGGACGCAGCCCCCTGCCTTTGGGACGTAGCCCTCGCGAAATTTGGACCACTGCGTCCCACACTGAAATGCCACGGTTTCAGCCGAAAAGTGCGAGCAAAAATAAGTAACATGCCTCGGTCTTTTACTGTGTAAAAGATGTTGGCTTTCCGATTGCTTTGTGCCCTGATTTACTATGTACCTAAGCACATACATGCCCTCTCCAGTCCTTGTCCCCTGCCCTACCCTTGGTCATACACCTTATTATGTTCTTCCCTACTATACCCCTAGGATATGTGCCCTGCCCAGTGCCCTGTCCTTAGGTCTTTTACCTTGCCCTGGCCTTTCTTCAGGCCCTGTGCCCCGCTCTGCCCTGCCCTCAAACACGATACTTTATATATTCTGCCTGGAAATTTGATGCGCTGCCTTCCCGTCTTTTGGCCCCGTGCCCTGCCCTACCCTAGTTTGGGGCCCCTGCCCTTCTCTGCCCTCAAGCCTTGTGACACGTCCTGCCATCAGACCCCGTGCCGCTGCCTTGTCTTCAGGTACTGTGCCCTGCCCTGCCATCAGGCCTTGTGCCTTCCCATGTCCTCATGCCCCGGCCCCGCGCCCATCCTCGAGCCTAATGCCTTGCCCTGCCTCAGGCCCTGTCCTGTCATGTTCTGCTTCCAGGCCTCATGTGCATTGCCCTGCCCTTAGACCCTGTGCCCTATTCTGCCATTAAGCCTTATGCGTTGTATCGCCCTCAGGCCCGTGCCCGGCCTCGCCCTAAAGTTGCTGTGCTCTGCCCTGTCGTCAGGCCTTGTGCCGTCCCATGCCATCAGACCCTGTGTCCTACTCTGCCCTCAAGCCCTGTATTCTGCATTGCCCTAAGGTCTCGTGTCCCATGCCCGCTCTCAGGCGCTGTGCCCTGCCCTGTCATCAGGCCCTGTGGTGTCTCCCGCCCTCAGGTCCCGTGCCGTTTCCCGTCCTCATGCCCCGTGCCCTTACCTGTCCTCAGAACCCGTGCTTTGTTCTGCCTCCATGCCCTGAGCCTTGCCCTGCCCTCAGGCCCCATACCATGGCCCTGTTTCACCGGTGATAGCAGCACGCTGCTATTACACGTGTCAAATTGGGTTTCCATGGAGACATCAACAGGCCCATTGCTCAAACACTACCACAAGTATGACGTCAGCTCGCGGAATATGATAGCAGCGTCCGACGTCCGTGAAACACTGCCCACGTCTTGTCATACCTTCGGGGCCCGAAGGTATGACAAGACGTGGGCGGTGTTTCGGGCCTTGTGTCATACCTGTGTCTTATGTCTTGCTCTACCTTTAGGTACTATTTCTTGCCCTGCTCTAAGATCCTGCGTGTTGCCCTGCCATCAGGTGTGTTGATCATCAGGTGTTCTAAGGCCCTGTGTCTTGCACTACTCTCCGGCCTTGTGTAATGATAGCCTCAGACCCGCGCCTTGCCTTGCCCTCGGACCCTGCATCCTACCCAGCCCTCAAGTATCCGTCTTAGCTTAGCTTCATGGCCTGTGCCTGCCCTGTCCTTAGGGCTCAGACTCTGTGTCCTGCCCTTCCCTAAAGTCCTGTTTAGAGATGTCAAGTTGGAGCCCGCAGGCCCGGAGCCTGGCCCAAAATCCGGCCCTACAGGGCTTTTGCATGCACAGTGGATTGTATCATTGTTTTGAGGTACCTCATCGAAACGCATCGACTGATATGCGACATGATCTATCTTGGTCACGAAATGACCGTAATGTGAGCTCAAGTTCTGACCTTGACATTTCGAGGTAAAAATGAGAGAAGAACGATCGTGCAAACGAAAATTCTCTACCTTTTTTTTGTTCAAAAGCTTTTCATGAAACCAATATTGACAAAAATTGTAATTTTACCCGTTTTTGGCTATGGAGCCTTAACCGTTGATCTGAACTCAATCCTGACGAAATATTGACGAAAGAGCTGTTCAAGATATATCGATTGCTTTTCTCCTATCGATTGCGCCCTCCTAGCTATCATAGTTTTTGAGATACCGGCACGTTTTCCGAAAAAAATATCGCATCATTGCGAAGTTTGACATTTGATGGCATACGGTCAGATCAGGACCGTCATGGCCGTCTGGCCATAGGAGGATATAGAGGGGGCCACGGGGCCATGCCCCCCCCCCCCAAAGCGCCCGGAAATGGCACAAAATCGACACATTTCTGGGCATAATAATTAAACAAAGGAACTTCCATTGGGAAAAGTTTGGGTTATATTACATGATAGGCAGTAAGGAAGCGAAATCCGAAGCATCCAAAGCATCCGTTCATCCAAAGCATTAATCTATGATGGATTTTTTTATGTAGCTTTAAAATCCGATGATTTTTTGTCACAACTTAGGTGGGTACTGTTTGACCTTACGTCATCTAATTATTTCAAACACATAGTATCTTCAATGCAAATTGGCCATGTTTCACACGTCAACCTCTATTTTGAATCAATTGATAAGGGTGAAAAACGCATGAAGAGACGTATGTATCACATTTTAATCATGTGCATATTCATATTTATTCTCTAAGCATAGGTACAATTTGGTGCGTCAAGGGAGGTCAAACACGCCCAACGCCGTTCAGGAAAACGAGTGACTAACAACAATGTAAATGTCATTTTAAATCGCCGGTCCGCCCTTTACATGCGGATAAAGAACGCACTACGACTGGGCGAATTTCGAGACTGGCCAAAAGCAATCACAGCCCGCTCCCAATATCCCGCTTGCAGTGCCCCTCCACCAGCACAGTACACAATGTATCTGTACATTATCTCACTTGCATTATATACTATTTCGCTTGCAATGTGCCCTTTCCGATCAAAGCATGTGCCCTATGCCACCTTTGGGACGCAGTGAAAAATCCTTAAAATATGCCCTGCCCGGCCCCGGCCCGGCGCGGAATCTCGGAGCACCGGCCCGGCGCGGTTTAAAGACTCGGGCTCGGAGAGCCTCAGCAAATCCAAAGACATACCTAGTACTACATAAAGACAAGGCCATGTAACCAATATATTATAAATCAAAATCGGAATCAGCATTGTTTGCTAAAAAGCTATCCGCGAAGCGAAAGAAAATGGCAGAAATTTACCTGATATGGTAGCTAAGTTGGTAGGCAGTGATGGCGCATAAGTGTCAATTGTCACGCGAAATATTTCCGTTGGTTGGAAACGGAACTTGTGGCAAAAAAAGGAACTTGTGGCAGTTTGTGCATATCATATGATATTTTTCATCTTTTGCTGTGCGGATAAACGAAAAATTGCAGTAAAAATAGTTCAGTTCATGCGTACCATTTAAAATCGTGAGTAGGAATTAGGAAGTGGGTCACATTTCCAGTATGTCCCGGTTCAGGTATTCCTTACCTTACAATGATGATTCTTTTTTTTACGTACGTCTCCACATAGATCAAGATCAGCCTATTTTTCTGAAGCTCAGCCTTTTGTTAGATAAAAAATAACAAAATTTGCTTGCGAGAAAATTCAAATATTTCTGCCGGAGCAGCAGGATCAGCATTATTTTTAGCTTATCAGGTGATTAGGGGATCTGTTTTTAATGCTGGTGGCAAAATAGGATCAATTTTTAGGTTATGCTTGGACTGATTTTTTGGCTTGAGAAACATTTCAATTTTGATTTTGATTTTTACTGGTGTATGATAATCCCTATTTGAAAAATTCTCTTTCTGTTGGTATGTACCATTCTGGTTACAATTAAACAAAGTTAAGTTATACCAACACGGTTCACTGTACAGGTAATTTGTATTGTCTTGTTGATTTACATATCCTCATACCTTGGAGTCCTATTTCAGTATGTTCTACAGAATACAGAGAGTTGAGAATTATTTCAGGATCAATCTTTTCCTCGTTCATTTATCCATCAATCATGACATTTTCAGGGTGGAACAATTAGTTTTCAGGCGGTCCAAGTGTTTTCTCGTGAGATTGAGAAGGGTATCAAAATGTGTCATTTCTAGATCCGGTCATACTGGCCACCTGTCCTGTTCAGACATTAGTTAATTCCTATAATAAAGACATCATTCTATAGAGAAACTCGTGTTTAGTAACAATACTGTGGTGTTGTGAAATCTGGACTTCTGGAGAGTGTATACTGTATTGTGGAATAGCCAGTAAACATATTATACCTATCTCTATTTTGTAAATCACGACATGCAGTTTGAATGAATGACACTAGCTTCTACAACACCTATGTGTTACAGCTCCTTATTTTCCAGCGACACAGTCCCGGTTCATCAGCATTCAGTATGCTGAGTGTGGCCCGGGGCCTGGCGGCGCGGACCGGTCGGCTGACGGCTTGCAGCGGCGACCGGTGCGTGCTCGGGCCGGCCGGGCGGTGCCAGAGGGCGGCCGCGCTGCGCACCTCGGCACCCCGGCCGGCGCCGCTGCCGCCGGCGGTGTGGCTGGTGCTGCGACCCATCACCAAGCTGGCGGCCGTGCTGTTCGGCAGGGCGTACCGAAAGTGGTGGCAGGCGCTGCCCAAGAACAAGCGGGCCGTGTTTATGGCCAGTGTGCGCAGAAATCGCCGCAAAATCGCCGGTGAGCACTGACTGGACGTTTATGTTCACCAACTCTCGTTTTATTAGCAACTGGAATGTATGAAGTATTTGACGTTTCTATCTGACGGTATATGTGCTACTCCTAACTGTCCTAAGTCCTAACTACCTACTGTGTATAACATACGCCGAGCACTTTTAGTAACCGATGTCAGACCGCCAGAAATACGAGAAGAAATCGTGACACAACACGCCCTTTTTCCGAGAGCCCGTCCGGTTTCGCGTGTATCCCAAGGTCGTGCTCTTGCGGCACCGGCTTATGCCTCGTCGTTCGCGGTCGCCGGACCGTTTAACACGGCTGCCAAGGTGACGCGACCACCAAGGTGACACGGTCTACCCGGCCCGGTGTGACCCCGGCTTTACCCGACAGCCGCGTCGGCGCTGGTGGGAGGTCTGTCGCTCAACTACTACTACTCGCACCTTCAGACCACGCCCGTCACGGGACGTACCCGATTCGTAGCCTTCACGCCCGAGCAAATCGTGAAAATCTCGCAGGAAGGCTTTGAAATGGTGCGTACTGCAATAGGCAATGTGCTGGGCATTTGCTGTACGATGTATCATTTGCATATCGTGAATGATGATGTATGCGGTGCCTAAATGTCGTCAAATCTCGATTTTTCTCCTGGTAAATGCTGCATTCACAATCGTAATATTTCCGTCGTCAAGCGCTCGTCGGCCTGTGCTTCCTGTTCGAACTGTGTTCCCCTCCCAGTGCACAACGCTCACTCTGTCCCCTCCACCCTCTCAGATGATCGAGGAGCACGCGATGGACACCCTACCTCCGGACCACGGCTTTTACCGGACCGTGGTACGCGTGGCGAACCGGCTCCTGTCCGCCAACCGAGACCTGGCAGAGATGCAGCGCGACTGGGCCGTCACTGTGGTGGCTGACGACGCCCATGTCAACGCCTATGCCATGGAGGTGAGCGGCCCCGCCGAGATAAAGATAACTTAACTTACTCCTAAGATGACTTAACTTTGGCTCAGCGTGGACCAGAGGACATAGCGCAGAGATTGAGAAATCAGGCATAACAGAACGTCCTGCGGTAATAAGATGGTTGAGGTGTAATTTGAGACTGTTTCTGAGCTCCAGCGTGGTCTCGTTTATGTGCGCTTCTATGTGTGAGTTATAGTGCTGCTTTATATTTTTAATGGTGGCTGCCAGCCAGTCTCAAAGTATTAAGCTGGTATTGCCTCACTTCATGTCTATTGTCTATCCCACCACTTGCACCCATCATTTCATCTCAAAGATTACCTGTGGTAACCTGAGCATTGTGCCGTTGGTTATGTGCAATAGGTGTAATGATCGCTGTATCGTGTTGAGTAGCTGCGATTTCACAACATCTTGATGCCTGTGGACAATCGATATGTTTGTTGCAGTGTGGCAACATTGTTGTGTTTACGGGAATGCTGCTAATGTGCGACAATGACGACCAGCTGGGCTGCGTTTTGGGCCATGAGATGGCGCACACCGTCCTAGGGCACTCGGTAAGCTGCGCTCCTGAAGCCGCCCCACTCCCCAGACGCCATATTGATGTCCAGTCGGCTATAACAGTAATCGACTGCTTACATTGAGCCAGCTGGTGGAGCATATTCGTTAATGTAAATAAAGATGTGAGTTTGAAGTATATGCTAAGATATTGTTTATATAAAAACATCGCCTCACCTACCGATGTGCGATGGTCGCTGCTGTTACTGACCTAATAAGACAAAGCCATCCCTCCAATGTGGGCTCCTTAACCATGCGCCATTTCGCTCTCGTTTCAGGGTGAGCGTCTGAGCAAGGCGCACCTGCTGGATCTGCTCATGATCCTGCCGCTGGCCGCCATCTGGGCCTTCCTGCCCAACGACGGCATCAGCGTGTTCGCCCACTGGTTCTTCAGGCAGATGGTCACCCTGCTGGGCGACCTGCCGCACAGTCGCGCGCTGGAGACGGAGGCGGACGAAGTCGGCCTTCATCTGGCTGCTAGGGTGAGTGGGAAGAAGTGGGGGAGGGTTGGACTTTAGAGGGCGTGGATCAGAAGTGAAGGGATTGGAGTAACCCTGATGGTGTTTCAGTGCAAGTGCTGAGGCAGACGGGGCTAGACGCATGCTTTAGTGAGGTGTGCCCTAGACGACGCAAGGGAAGGGTGGGAAGGGTGGATGCCAACAGCGGTGATGTTGGACTTCAGCTGTGAAATGCGATAATAGATGTTTTGTTATGTGTGCGGGAGGATCTTACAGATTACTTTATTTTCGGCGTTTGCACTGGGACACTGGAGCAAAAGCACTGCCCAGAGCCCCGCCCGAACCATATGTAATTGACGTTAGAGTATCCTCATCCCTACGTCAGGCGTGTTTTGACGTGCGAGAGGCGAGCGCGTTCTGGGCCAAGATGTCGATGAAGAAGGAGCTGGCCGGCGAGGCGGACGTGCTGGATTGGCTCTCCACGCATCCCGCCGACGCCTCTCGACGAGAGGGGATCGACCAGCGGATACCGGAGCTGGAGCGGGTCCGGGCGCTCTGCCGGGTGAGACATGGGGCTGGGGGAGGGTTCGCGCGCTCTGCCGGGTGAGAAATGGGGCTGGGCGGTGAGAATATGGAATATGGTTTTATTTCTCACTCTCCGGACTTGTTCAAGCCACGTGTCATCTTGAGCCCTTTGGGCTGGCCAGTGAAAATCGGTGTTTCATTTTCCTTGCTCTTCTTCTCCAACCATGTTCTACAACGTGGCCTTCATCTCGCCGGTGAAGGTGTGATTGCTGTGATCTTAAGTGTTCCACTAATTGAGAACGATAAAATCTCGGTTATCTCGTTCATGACGACGGCCTCTACACTATCCCGCTATCTGCATGCTGGCTACTCCCAGGTGACCTTGACCTAACCCTTCGTCTTCACCCGAATTTGAAGAAATTTTCCTTTGACCTTTGGTGACCCTTGAGCTCGCATGACCTTGTGACCTAATGTGCCCCGATGACCTGTTTCCAGTGTCACCCGATGCCGGAGCGGGACCCGAGAGCTGTTGTGGAGGAGTTCCGTAGGATGCTACTGGAGCAGGCCGCAGCCAGACGACCGCACCCGAAGAGCGTGCCTCTTGAACTACCTCGCGCCGGGTGGGTGTCCCCGATAAGTGATCACTTTCATCCGATCAGCGGTCACTTTCAGTTATCTGATAAGGATTGTGCAATGTGCATCTCTAAAATTAGCTCATCAGCTCATCGCCTTCTCATCAATCGTTCCTTTCACTCCTTACCAATCACTTGTTAATGCCAACTATCCATTAATGAGGTTGGTATTTTCTTCAATAAACACGTTTTATGTAACCCCCCAGTTATGAGTGTTCTTTTTTCAACGAATGGATGGGTGGGAGATTTATCTTAGTCGGATTATGATCGGTTCGTCCAGCAGCCGAGCTTTTGGAGAAAGTGACAAGGGAAACCCGAACGAAAAACTAGTGTGAGGACGCAGCTCGTGTCAGCTGTTGCTAGGATCAAGTATTAGTTGTCAGGGTCATCGGCACAGCTGTGGCCAGTGGTCCAGAATTTATCCTTGTGCTGCCTGTCGCATGTCGTTTACGTTATTGTGGCCATATTGTGGCGACTATTCCCTACTGCATTTATGATTTCGATCCTGTTACGAGTACAAGCGACGGCTGTAGTGTAGTAAGGATTGCGATGCCCCCCGTATGATGCCGCGTGGACATTAAGTTGACCTGGTTTCTGTTTCAGATCGGGTGGATAGCCAACTACAATTATGACTGTGTTCAACCGAAACATACCCTGCACCTGCCAGCAAGCGCGGAGAAAACTCGGTCACTGCCTTACATTGTGAGTACGAAACCAAGAGAATCAGGTTGGAAAAGCGGCTTGCCACGGGGTTCCTATGATTCGACTACCCGTACGAATACAATACATACCTCCAATATCGCGGGGCTCAAATTTCACGCTGCACGAGTCTGTGGCGCGTCGAACACTGCATTTAATTCGACGGTGCTTATTGTGCTCATTGTGCCCCCTCGAAACTACCATCCAGAGTAGCTCAGGACATGTAATGCCTCGACTGAGTGTCGCCAGTCCTTTCGCGGATGTGATAGTGCAATCTGGTGCGTGTAATAGATGGTGATTGGTGCAGCTGCTGCACTGTGCTTTGTTGGTGATTGGATGAACCTGGTGATAACTTTTTAGTCAGTTTTATGGACATGGTGTGACAACTTAGGAAGTGAGTGCTGTTATAGTGAATTTGAGGTAATGAAGGTCGTTAAAGTTGTTGAGACCGAGATATACTGTACTTTGTTGAAGACCCTGTACGAAGCGCATATTGTGAGTGCGATTTCTTACTAGTTTGATTGGTCGCCTCAACCACGCCATGAATTGTGTGCTATTTAACGTTTGATATGGAATGAATTATTATAGCCTGTTTGGATATACCGTGTACGAATCTGGCATTCTGTCGAGCCTGCTACCGAGCCCAGATTTCCCAGTTCATCTCAGACCTAAAAAAAAATCGCTCTATCAGGAGGATTCTCTGATTAAGACTTGGGATGCTTGGGCAGTAATTAATCTTGACCCATTTAAGAAGGCTGAAACACATCGTGAGCATTGCTCTTAACCCGCGAGTTGCTGGGGGGGGGCGTTAAACGCCCCCACTTTTTTCGCCGGTCCATAGCATAAAAACGGCGCGCCGCAGGCGCGCCAAATTTTGGGTACCTGTAGGGAATTGAATAAAGTGTATTGTGACAAAGTTTCAAAAAAATCGGTCGGAAAATTTTTGAGATATCGAGGTTTTAGTGACGTCATGATTTCTGAGTTTTCGGCCAAAAACGGCATATGTTCAAAAAATCATATAAAATCACAGAATAGACATACAGACATGCCGTAAACGCCATTAGACTGCCAATACCATGAACAATCAAATGGCTATCTTCGATTATTGATTATCGTTCCGCATTTTCCAAAATCTTGAACTGAATCTTGGGAATTTCTCGTGACTTCTTCACGACCATGATACATGCATTTCTTAAATTGAACTTTTTAAGCCAAACACGTACACATATGATAAAAGGAATGTCACCATCGTGTTCTACGCTCCAAATTACCCATAAAACATGTGTCACAGGCTGCGAATATCAGTTTTGATTTTCGGGGATATGTGCCTACCCGGTTGACCTGACCTTGACCCTGACCTATGCTTTACTGACCCCTACATGGAGCTGACACTCTTGTAGGCCTTATATGATGGATTGTGCACCGTTTTGACAGAGTTTATGACGAGAGGCGCCCATTGCGAAGTCCTGAAGTCCATGCTACTGAAAGCCCGATTTCAGGTGTTTGACCTGACCTTGACCCGACCTGTGACCTCAAAATTCAACTTTAAAGTACTCATCTGAAGCGTCTCGTCGCGTTCTTTCGTTTGCCGCCTCGTGCGTTTCGCTGCGCCTATTGGTTCTCGAGTTATTGGCTGGGGGCGTTTAACGCCCCCCCCCAGCAAACGGTGGGTGGCGAAATACCCCAGCAACTGCCGGGTTAAAGGTAGACTGCCACCTTTTTTTCCACAAAACGGTTTTCACTAGAGCTGAGCCACCTATGTCCCAGACTGAAGTCGGTTTTCCGAAATTCGAACCCGTTTGCGAGAAATCGGAGACCAAAGTTCAGTTTGATGCCATTTTTTTAGTCCAAGAAAACCGACATCTCTACTGTTTATCGATAACTTTGAAACATGAATTTTCTTATCTTTTGGTAAATATATGTCAAAACTTTGATTGTTTCGAGATCAGAGAAGAATTTTGGAGTGTCAAAATAAAAGTTAAACTTATATATTCAGTAGTTCATTTTTTCCAAAAAAGTGTGGGAAATGGGGTTTAACATGGGCCAGACCCATTCCAAATGAGCCATGATTTTTAAATGTTTTACGAACTTAAATGCAAAATAAATTAAACATGGCCAATATCTTATGAAATCATATATTAGTAAATCATAAAATACCTTACTTTTTCAAATAAAATGTAATAATCTTATGACCTTGAAGTCTAGTGATGTGTAAACATTGTCGCTAGACATTAACCGATTGATAATTGTATGATAATCGACAATTTTTTTCGCGATTCACGTGATGATACTTTGTCAGGTGAATTCTAAAATTTTGTTTTGTCCAGGGAATAAATCATAGGCCGATCTGAGAAAACTTTTTGAAGGTGGCAGTCTTCCTTTAAGTCCCTTTAAATTAGCATGATAAATTGTCAAAAAATATATATGATGAATGATGATAGTGCTTGACGTTCAAACGATAAATATCTTGGATAGAGAGAACATCAGGTTATGATGGCAGCCAGGTTCAGGATGATCAGAAAGGAGATGACAAAAAATACATTTCCATACAATGTATTCAGAAATTACATATTAGTACAAATAACTAAAAAACGACGAGCTATGCAAACAAAGAACCGAATACAAACGTTCGGACAGAACCATGAATACAACCAGCAAAACTTACTCCCAAAGTATGAACACTGGACATGGAAGAGGAAATTCGAATTGCACACAGCTTTCCACCGCGAGCGGTTTTCCATTTACACTTGTACACCAGCTTCCATCAACCTAAACATTAGGCGAGTCAACCGTTTAGCGAAGTAATGAGATCAAAACTGTAAGGGTTCTGATATGGTACCGCTGATTGTTAGTGATGACGGAACAGCGGACGACGTTGCTAGATTAACGCCAGGCGACTTGTGCTCTAAAGGCGAGGTTCCATGCCGTGGTGGCTATGAACGAACAAAGCTTGCATGTCAGTCAGAGAAGCGAGCGGTGGCGACGCTCCAGACATGGTATCGCTCTCTGACGTGGCGAGGAAGACCAGAGAGGCATTCCTTTGACAGATACGGGCTGCCACCGTAGACAAGACCGTGCCCTTTTGGCCATAGAGCGACCAGGGAGAAATCCCAGCGTCAAAAGCAAGCGGCAGCCGTTATTCAGAACCGCTTCAGAAATCGGAGCGCTGTTGACCACGCGAGACCCACGTGGGACCTTACTGCAGAGACGGGGAACGGTCAGTGTCACTCAGCGAATTCGGTGCCGTGCTCTGCTGGCCATGAGGGCCGTTCAGACGGACTGTTTCAGCGTCAGAAAAAGGCTGCCATCGCTCTGCAGTTGGCTTTGCTGGTGATGGGGGCGGCTAGAGAAGCCTTCCAGCGATAGAGACGCGTCATGGTGACTCTGCAGACATTCTACCGGTCTGCGGACGAGGCCGAGTGGTTCACGACGGTCGCCGTCACACTGCAGCGCGTGGTCCGTGGACCGTCGGTTACTGCAGCGTTGGCAGCTGTTTATATCTTTTCAGTAAATGTGTTCTTGAATTAAAGATACTCATGTAAAAAAAGAGAAATATGTGAGGATATTCACACTTTACAGACCGCCACAGATGTTCTAACGGTTCGCCAGAGAGACATAAAAAACGGTACAAAAATACTGTCCGGCATAGAGAAACGTGGAGTCTTGGTGAATCAGTTTGATCTTGATTTGCGCGAAACCGTCATGCCACGCTCTGCGCAATGGACGCTTAACAATAACCTATCGTACAACCTTGGTTAGAGTACTTCACATTGTCTGCGTGGCGGCTGGTGACTGCTGCCGCCAGTGGCTAGCCTCTCCACCCGCACAGACTCAGACTTGGCCGGATTTATGCGAGTCCCGTGATGAGTAGAAACGCCCTAGCTGCACGTTTACAGCGCGTCCATCATCTTGATGATGGCGTCTCGCTCTTTGAGCGCCTTCCAGGCCGCCTCTCGCTCCTTCTTTGAGGGTGACTTCTTGCGCTGTCGAGCGGCCGCCACTGCTTGGTACGCCTCCTGCACCTGAAGAAGAGTAAAAAGGGAGATGGTGAGCGCGGGGGAATGTGGGGAGCTGGGGACGAAAAGGCTGGGAAGGTGGGGAAATGCGCAAGGGGGCGGTCCGGTGGGGGCAGAATATGGGAGGGCGCCCAGAACTATTGGAGATAAACTGAACAGGGGAGGAAGAGGCGATGGGGGAAGAATGCGACGATAGATTTATTACTATGGGTCAATCAGCACGCAATAGCGAGGGTGCTGGTGTGGTTACAAATAGTCACTGGTAGCACAAGAAATGACGTAAGTTGCACAGTGTAACTGTTTATAAAAAATCAAACTGGAATCCGGACGCATTACGGATATACCGCACATGGTACATCATAGCTACATGACGCGTTGTTACTTCAATCGCTAAAACAACGGTTCGGCGCTACAGTTCTCTCAACACCATCAAATCTCAGAACTGAAACAACCACAATCAACCACAGGACACGGGGCAAATCCCCTTCAAATCTCTCCTCCCTTCCGACCCCATCCCAACTCCCAGCCTCCCTCCCCAAGTTTCTCAGCTCCAAAAACCGCAACCGGACCACACCGCATCCTTTCGACCGGTCACACCAGACCACGAAGGTAGGGATGGGGCCAATGGGGGCGCACGTGACTAATCCTTCGACTTGCACGTGTGCAGGTGGTTACCAGCATCAGACGCGTCACCGGCGCCTGAGCGGCGCTGGGTGAACGCGCTGAAAGCAAGAACTGGGCTAGCGGAGCAGGTGATAGCGGGTTGTTGCCTGCCAGTGAGATGGACAGTTATGCCCGCGATGACAAGAAATGTTTGTGTATTAACCATGCATTATGATATGGAACGACTAGGTATAAAGAGGCAGCAGAATTTGTGAGGCGGGGGAATTTATTTCACACGGCGGGTTCCTTTATGTTTAAAAGGTAACTGGAAACATTGTGCAATGCACTGATAATGAGTTTCGCACTACGTTCGAGAAATTCGAAAAGAGCTGTTCAGTGTTAACACCTATATCGAAATCGGGGAATTTATTTCACATCGCGGGTTCCTTTATGTTTAAAAAGTAACTGAAAAGATTGTGCAATGCACTGATAATGAGTTTCGCACTACGTTCGAGAAATTCCAAAAGAAATATTCAGTGTTCAACACCTACATCGAAATTCATGAATGGATTACTTTTCTAAATTCCTGATTTCTTGGCAGAGTACCGATTTAATCAATTAAATCTGCAATTAAAATAAATCAGGGTTAATTCTATTTTGCGTTAAAAAGCGCACAGGGGATTCACCTATTGGCGCTTGGGACTCGCACACATCACAAATAATCCTTAATCCCACTGATTCCATGCCGCTTGTTTATAAGAGGCATTACGTAAGTGCCTGCTACAAAGTAAGTCAACATTTGGGCTTAGTGCGATTAGCGATTATAAGTATTAGTGCTTATCCTGTAATAAAGCTGCAAGGGTACCGCCAGGCTTACCTAGCGATCTTAGTTCAGTCTTTGGAATAAACTTCTCTCCGTGTCAAATGCTGTGTTACACCACATATTTTAGTGACACATACAACTATTAATTTCAAATTTGCAATGTTAACATAAGGGCAACATGAAGTTCCTTGCTTGACATCAAATGTCTGTCGATAAATCTAGGAGAAAGGACGATATCGTTTGTATTCCTCCTTCCCTCCAACAGGCTACTGTAGCCCATCGGGGGGGGGGGGGGGGGGGCTCCTGCTCCTCCTACCCAATGAGTTTTTCCTAATACCTCGTAGCTTAAAATTACTGGAATGTTTAAAGTTGCCGACAAAAAAAACAAGAGTTTTATCATAGTAATGGGATGAACAATCGATCATGAACGAATAAAACACGCCTTTTAGGCGCCAAGCCAAAACGCAAAGCACCTGAGATGCAATCCCTTGGAAGATGGCACAAGCCAAATCCTACCTTATCAAAAGTGAGGCCGGTGGAAGGCAGTGAGGAAATCCCGAAACCAAATCCGGTTGAACAGGCTTTCAGAAGGCGTCAATCCACCGATCTCCTCTTTTTACAGCAGAGAATAAAATTGAATGGTCGCCTGACTTAGTAAAGAAAGTCGAAAGTAAAACTAGCGATATAGGCGGGGTGGAGAAATATGCCGAGTTGGGGTTGCACGGGCGCAGCAAATCCGCCGCCGCCCTGGCGGTGACCTTGACCTCCGCCGTCTGGTGCGGCTCCAAAGCCAAGCCGGCGCAGCCGTCGTGGAATTGGGAAGACTCGTGCTACCCCAACTCGGCACAATTGTCCACCCCTGGATAGGCATCTGGTATAGGCGGTAGATGGACCAATGCACTAATCTTACAACCGCCATAAGCAACATGACTTCGCTGGCATGGATGCATCACCACCCGTCGCAGCAGATGGAACCATATTTTACCGGTTTCAGCATTTGCCCAATCCGTAATAAGACTACCTTTTTGCCTGATCAACTTTTAGGTGCACTGCGCGCCCAACAAATAACCATATCTTTCGATTAGAATGAATGTCAAATGAAATAAAAAGTACCAATATCAGTCACTCAATGATGCAGCAAATGCCACCCTGTCCGGCTCAAAACCAGCAGAGCCTCTGAATTCGGCTGGCTGGGACCTTGTTTGTTTGTTTGTTTGTTTTGTTGGGTTAGGCCCTTTCGGTCGACAAGACCATTGCAGAGCCGGAAGGATGATAGGAATTAGGGGGAGACATTGGTCTGGGCAGGCACCCTAGTGAGTCGCCGGGGCTGAGCCCGTCCAGAGGACAGGCCACCCTGCCCCAAGGCACTCACTGCACCCGGCTACGGGGTGAGCTCCCTCAGGAGCAGCGGTGCCGCTCCAAGGGAGCAGCCCGCATGAGATAAAGTTGCCTGTCCAGCCCGGAGGGGGGTTGCGGCGTGGAGGAGAAGGATTTCAGTATCCTGAGGATAGAAGCACGGATAGGTGGCTGGGACCTCCGGAAAGACCAGCACATCACCAAACCCGGTGTGGATGTGGTCGGTATGCGGTGTAGCGAGCTCCCGTAAATACCCCAGCTGGTGCTACCATCTAACGACGAGAGGTGGAAACTGCATTTCAGACACCGAGACCGACATTCCAGAAGGCGAAAATCTCGTCACCAGACTTTGCAAATCGAAGTTCAAGCCCAGCTCGTTTCTGTTCCGCAATACATATGCTCCCAGCCCCCTTATGAAACATTCTCATTTGCGCCAACGGTTTCTTTTCATCTCTTACTCGTGTTTTAGATGCCCGCTCCCCCAGGTCTCACGTCCTGAACATCCCCTCCCCCTCCTGCAGCCACCCATGTAATTATCAGAGGCCGCTCTCCTTCCACAGGTCACTCCTCCCACTCCTCAACACTCTCTCCCCTCACCTGTGCGTCAGTGGCCGCCAGCTTCTCCCGCAGCTCCTGTCGCTGAAGTTCCGCTTTCGCCAGTCGCAGCAGCCGCTCCAGCTGACTGGCGTTATGAGCTGAGAGGGTCCGCAGGCGCGCCTGACACCGCTCCAGCTCAGCTAGGACCTGGGATGGCGGGAGGAGACGGTTAGATGGCGACACTGGAGCCTGACACCGCTCCAGCTCAGCTAGAACCTGGGATAGCGGGGGGGGGGCGGGTTAGACGGCAGCAGTGGAGTCTGGTATCCTCCAGCTCAGCTAGCACCTGGGATAGCGGGAGGGAGGTCAGACGGCGCCACTAGAGCCTGAAATTACTGTAGTCAAGTAGCTGGGACACAGCAATACAACAGAACAATAATGGTAATTCGTTAAATGACTTCAAATTATTTCTTTAGCCGAACCACACAACTCTATACCTAGCTAATTCACACGCCACTTCACCAACTATGTAGTAGCAGCACCGCTTGGCACTCGCCGAGCTCGGCGGCCTCCTCCCTCACCTGATCATCAGCGACGGCGCTGGGCCCGTCCGAGTCGTCCACCAGGCCCTGGTTCTGCAGCTCCTTCCGTAGCCGTCGCTCCAGCTGACCTGGAGTGCTGAGCTGTACGGAGGATGATAGGCCCGGCCGCGCAACCACCGAATCCGTCTCTGGAGGGGGCAAAACGTCAGAATATGACCGCATGAGATACTTTTGGACAGTCAAATAGGAAAATATAGCGTTCGGGAGCTAACAACGAACTAACTGAAGTGAAACTGAAACAACGAAACGAAATGCGAACTAACAAGGCCAAAACTAGGCAACTGATGTCAAAAGCATTGTCATTAAACTCCACTACACTATAACTTATACACCAACAGCATCACACCCAAATTACCGTAGGGGCATAGGAAAGATTCTCACCTTTGCCTTCAGTCTCGGTGGCATCCTCAGCGTTGGAGTTCTCCTCTACGAGACCGGAGACCAGGCGCTGGGTGAGGGCGCCCAGTCCGGCCGCCTCGTCATCGCTGTGGGTCAGAGATGAAGGAGTGGTATGGGTCAAAGCACAGTCACCCTTACCGGCACTGACATCACTCACAGGGATCGTTGTCACAGACCCGAAGTCTGAACGTAAATTTCACTAGTGTTTCCGAAAAACTGAGCGGATAAGCTACAACATACAAGAATCGCACGATCTAACACGCTCAAAAGACTCGGGGCTCGAAAGACAAAAGACTCGACTTAACAACACGGAAACAGACCATATCTGTCGACCATCATGGAATAAGGATCAACCCAGCCAGACCCACCACTGCTCACCCTTTTCCCTTCGCCTTCGCTCCACTCTGCGAGTCGGTGTCCTCCCCCGACTCGCCGTCGGCCGTGCCGTCCTCCTCTGCCCAGCGCAGTGTGTAGTGTTTGCCCAGCGGAGGAGCGCTGAGGTATTCCTCCATGTCCTCCTCCTCGGCACTGAGACGCTCCAGCATCTGAGCAGGAGCGGCGAACGGTCAGACCGCTGGGAGATCGTCACAAGGGGAGCAGACTACCGAAACTCTACGGTCGTACCAAGGCTATAGAACTCCAGGTAAGGACACCAGCCGTTTGACCTTGAACGCCGTCGGCCGGCCGATGACGTCATTGGAGGCAAGCCGGCTCGGCGGACACACAGGGCGAATGCATAACGGAGGGGCGTTGGAACGTTGCGGGAGCCAGGGAGATATTTTAAAGTGGTTGCATACCACCATTGTTTGTTGCTTGATCTACAGACTGCATCCTTTTAAACCTCGATGCATCCTAGGCCTGGATGGTGCGTACATTCGTGGAACGATCACCCCGTCCGACGTCCGTGGTCGAAGCTGTCATAGTATTTAAGACACTAAGACGGGTGCAATAACGGCGATCCGATCCCGTCTCTGGCGAATTTAGAGGGGTCGTAAGGACCCAGGCCGAATCTGACCGTCTATTTTTAGGGAAACGGGGTGGGTGAATTGACAACCGATGGCTTAAGAGATGATGAGAAGGGATCCCGTCGTCGATTGTTGTTTGACAGACAACACATGTTGTACTTGGCGTATGACCATCAGAGGTAATGCCTGAACGTAGGCAAGCATAATTGGTCTGTCATATTGTTTAGGAATATAAAATGGTAATGGAGATCATTGAGGATATGATCTCTACATTACGGGAATTCACTAATTACTACGGCCCATAGGGGCACCGCCGGAGCTGTTGTTTTGCCATCGGTCCCAGGCAACTCCAGGGAGCTGCAGTACCCGGCGGCCAAAGCGGCCACCTCGTCGACTCGCAGGTCCTCTGGGATTCCGTGATGCTTTAGTGCTTCATCCACAGAAGCACGGGCATAGCAGTAGGATGTGGGGCTAGGTGTCTGTCCACCTCTTCATTCAAAGAACAACGTGTACAGCGCCTGGTCCCGCCGAAGCTCGGTATCGACCGTGACTTATTCACAACTGGCGGATCCAGGAAGCGGTATTGGACACTGCGGGGGCTTATCCCAAAAAGGTTTCTCGGAATTAATTTAAAAAAAAACTCGGATTTCGATTCCTTGCGCACTGCTGTGCGGTGTGATTAACCAACATTTCCTCAGAAAAGTTGTGAAGTTTTCATTTATTCTCGAAAATCGATTTCGGGCGCTGCCCTGGTTGTTGGGGAAGACATTTGCCCCAAATGCCTTCCCCTGGATCCGCCAGTGGCCGTTGCCCCACTCCGAGCTTGACTAAAGACGTCTTCAAACCTCACCAGAAACCGATGGTAAGGTGAATTTAAATCCAATAACTCATCTCTGTCTGCCCGCCTAAATATACTACACATGGTACAGCACCCGGCCCTGTCGGAGCTATGAGCCGATCGTGATATTTTCGGCTTTCCCCATCCCAAGCTCGATTAGAAACGTTCTCCTTCCCCACCCGATTGCTGATGTCAATTCAAATTCAATGCCTCATCTCTGTCTGCCCGACCATAACCCATTCATTGCACACCGTTCAGCGCCCGGCCCCGCCAGAAGTATCCTAGCGCGCTGAGCAGTTGCCTCCAGCCGCGTCATCGCGAGGCCCCGCGCGGCCCATAAACTAATACATTGCGCGAATAGCCGTGTCGCCCCCCTGGGTCGTACGGAGATCACTCGGTAAGTCGGTATGAAAATTCGAATGAACCAGTATAACGCCTTTTGGGGCGACTAACGGAGCGAGCGAGAGGGTGGGCCTTGCACGTGCGAAATTGCGAGGGGGTACCTCCAACTGACTTGTGCATGGCACCCTACTAACCGGTCTCTAGCGATGTGCCAAATTTGGGCACAATCGGCCCAGCCGTTCTCGAGATCTGGAAGCGGCACCCTGCACGTGCGCACGTGCAAAATGGGTCCCAACTGACTTGTGCACGGCACCCTACTAACCGGTCCGTAACTGTGTACCAAATTTGAGGGTAATTGGTCGAGCCGTTCTCGAGATCTGGAAACGACCCCTGCACGTGCGCACGTGCAGCAGCGCCCCAACTCTGGCACATGGATAAGGATATGCAGTGCCTAGTGGGTGCCTACCTACATGCCAACTTTCAGCGCAATCGGCCGAGTAGTTACCGAGATATTGCAACAATTACAAAACGGACACCTCTTCATTTTGCACGTGGCACGTGCATAAGGGGTCACCCACACGCATCAGGAATAGTCCAATACTTGGTAGAAGGAATGAAGCTACCCTACAAAAATTACCGCGTGTAAATCGGTCAAGTGGTTGCTGAGATATAGGCCTCGCAAAAGCGTGACCACGGCCGGCCGGCCGCTCATACTCAGAAATTTCCGTTAATCTAAGGAAAGACTACGCTCGCTTCGCTCGCTCCGTAATAAAGTTATATCGTCGTTAAGTTATATCTAAGGTTGCATTGTCAAGTTCGGTCAAAAACTATGTCTTGGTGCATAATCATAGTGACGATACTTAGATTCGGACTGAACAAGCGCATGCGTCCAAAATGAATAGATTTTTGACGTCTATAACATACAGTCATACATGGTATCTATTGAAAACGTGAACAACAAATATTTCCGTCGTTCTTAAGGCAAAGAATGTCCCGGACGCTTACCTCCACGTCTTTGGCAGTGATGGGTCCGCAGTACTGCTCCATCGCCGCCCAGAACTTGTTGGGCACGTCATTCTTGACGGGCGGCGAGGGCAGGCACGGGTCGGCCTTGATTTGCGGCAGGATGTCTGCACTGTGCTCCGGAGGATGGCTAGGCTGTGGAAACCAGCAAGGACACAGTTCGGTTAGCGATGCTTATTTTTTGTTCACCAGCTGATCAATAAGTGTAAGCGTATTTGCCAGGGGCTACAAACATCACTTTAAGATAAACTTTGTTGAAACGTATGGCATAAGCCTACCAAGATCTGATTAAGACATCAACAACACAGAGACAGGACACAGAAGGAGCATTGACAGCTGTTTCCGTACATACCCCGGATGAGATGCGGATTTTGGTCGGTTTCAGCGGTGTGGCGTCCTTGGCGCGGCCCAGCGAGTCCTTGAACTTCTTCGCGGGCCGGTCTACACTCCTACTGAGCTTCCCAGGAGAGCTGGGCGCCACCTAAAACAACACACGTGAGCTGGCTATCGAAGGGCTAATACTAGGCAGGTAACTTACAGGATATATGGTTGCTTATACCTACTAGATGCAGTAGTCAGTAGGTAATCACACCGCCTTTTGTCCCTTATGGTAATGAAGCATAATATTTTAGTTTCGTAATAAAAAAAACAATATTGCTGAATCAATAGCCACCAACGAATGAAAACACCAGGAATGATCGCACTGTATCGAAAATCATCGCACCGAACTAGAAAATGGCACCGTACCGTGGTGATGGGCCTGCTGCGTCTCTTGTCGAGGCTGTTGATGAGTTTTATTTCGGCGCTAAGTGTCTTGCGTCTGATGGTGGCCGCAGAGAGCAGGGCCTCCAGCTCGAGCTGAATCCGATCCACGTCCTCCATCGAAATGGAGCCGTCGGGACGCGACACCACTGGACAGAAAATACACACTCAATAAGATAGCTAGCAGTGGTGTCGAAGTGGAATGTGTGAGAGCTGTCAGGATATGACACCGTATTTATCGTATTTGACACCTCATACCCGTATTTACGCACATTACCGTGACCACGTGATTACATGGAAGCGAGATGGATGCCTGATACATATGCTATTAACCCTCGCACTTAATGGACCCCTTCCCCCGTTTTTTCGCGAATACTCGCGCAAAAAGCGGCCGATCACGACGAAACTTTCAGTACCCTCGATTTGATCAATTTTACTCCTACCCTAAAAATTTCATGATCCTGACCCAAATGACCTTTGACCTGTTTCTCGAGACCATGTTTGGCCGGAATCGCGATTCGGCGTATGTCAGTCAGCTCGCATTATCCGCACGTTTCGTCTTTTTGTGGTTGTAAACGTTCAAACATGTGTAATGATGCTGGTCCCATGTATTATGGTGGATGTCAAAGGTCACATGAAGGTCAGGTCAGTCATCGATCTTTGATAACCTTGGTTAACATTTCCGAATTCTAAATGTTCCTAGGGTAGTTTTTGCACCTGATTTCGAATTTCGCACCCATCTGGACATCCACTAAGTCAAAATGTTGGCTTACCAGCTGTGTATTTTGGGAGTGAGAACTCATGGTCTATGGCCAGCACTTCTGGAAAGTTCAAAGCACAGTGATCAAGCTTAATGGGAACTTCATTTTCATCTTTTGACTTGCTGTGTTCCTTTCCTTTTGAAGTCTTCTGGTGTTTTGGTTTTGGAGCCATTTTCTGAAAAAGTAGATTTCACGATTGTGAGACTCAGATAGAAACCACTAAATGGGACTTAATTATTAGGTAGGTATAGGTACCCAACCTGTTCTAGAGGATAACAACTTGATTCCCAAACAAAGTTTCCCACAAACATAAGCCCAAATTATCATCACAACTGCTTATCAGTTGGGAATGTAGTGATGCATCATAACCAGCTTGCAGGTCAGAGAACTTCAAAGTCCTATCCAGGGATCCTGCATTACAGACAAAAGTTAAAACATTTTGGTGAGATTTCTTATTGAATGGACAATGGTTCTGACCAACCATATTTGTTAAGATTTCTAAATTTAAATACTTATCAAAATTTTCTCAGGGTCAGGCAACTCCCGACTGTCAAGCCAACCATGTCATACCCACCGCCCAGAAATCCAGCCTCTTCTCAATTTTTGGGTAAATGTGAAGATGAAGTCTGAGTACCTAGATAAAAGACAATCTAACCTGGGTATTAGTATATATAAGGTCCGAGTGGCGAACCGATTATGAAAAGCATGCTATACGATGTATTTTGACCTCCTCATTTCATATCTGATAGTTATTCCTTCTGGAACCAAGTATCAAAGCACCTATGAAATACTTACAGTTACCGCAAATCGCTACCGCACTCCACACACCAACTCCACACCCTCCACACTAGCGCAATGTGCCGGGCGGCAATTACTTGCGCAAAGCTGGCCAAGGTCAAGTAAATCAAGGATGATATCTAACAGTTGCTATTCAACTGTGAATAATGACGTCATAATACTTCTCGCGGCGAAGCAGCGCAGTGCCGAAGGCAATGCCTTAGGAGAGATTACAGGCAAGAGTAAATCAAATATTTTTAGGTTAAGTGGTTATGTATCTGGCTTCAGGCCGAAGGCCTGAAGCCTGATGCATGACCACTTAACCTAAAAATATTTGATTTACTCTTGCCTGCAATCTATTCCTGCAAGTAACTTTTTCCTTATCCCCGGTAGGCAAACATCAGTAGGTTAGGTTAGGTTAGGTTAGGTTAGGTTAGGTTAGGTTAGGTTAGGTTAGGTCAGGTTAGGTTAGGTTCCTTTTTTTGTAATTATGACGTCACTTTCATCACCATTCGTATCATTTTCTTTTTCCCCACCCAAAACCCCTGTTCCTAAAATTTCCCCTGAAATGGCAGCAATCCACATATGGCAGCGCTACAACGCCCACGTTTTTCTAACCTGACCTAACCTTACCTACTAACCTACTAACCAAGGTATATAAAACCAGCCTTCGACCTATCACCCACTAGCCAGTAAATGAAAGGTCAGGAGGGTGTTCGGGAGAGGTAAATAGAGGGCACGTACTTAAGACCCCGCAACACGAATTTTGGCACTTTTCATTAATATTTAAAATTCTTGCAGATTTTAAATAATTAGATTATTATGTAAGCCAAACGTACGTTTTTAACTTGTATTGGTATTTTTTTGTAATTCAAGGGCGCTCACAACTGCATGCCCCACGGCCACCTCTCCCGATCGGCGACCAAATTAAGTAACTTACCTGGTTTACTTACCTGGTTGGTTCCCTTCACCAAGTAAACAGTCACAGGAAGGAGTGGCAAGGAAAAGAAAGGAACCCATATCGAAAGACACGCCAGTTCCGTTTTAAGACCAGCCATGTTTGAGTATTGCAGTGTGTGAGCCATGAACTGGAAATGTGTGTCGCCATTTAACCTATCGTAATACATGATCGAGTATCGAGTGTTAGTACCTTTTGTTCTCGCTAATACCCTAATTTCACACTAATTGCGTTTCACATGTCACATTAGCACCAAATATTCTACAAACGTATATGAAATATACACATGGCAAGAAGGCTAGACATAATCAAATAGCAAGTCCGGTATCACATCATCTAACCCTCGCTTAAAAGCAGATACATCAGGGGCATCAACAACATGTTCTGGTAGGCGATTCCATACATTGACACATCTCTTTGAGAATGATCTTTTCCTCACATCTGTGTTCACATGCGTCACACCAATCTTGTACAAGTGTCCCCTGGTGACACGGGTGAAGGGCTGAGGGAACATGATCTCCGGGGGGACGCAGCTTTTCCTGTGGAAAATTTTCCAATACTGTATGAGATCTGCTCGCATGAGTCGTCCCTTGACCGAGTACAGACCTAGCTCCCTCAGCCTGTCACTATATGCGAGATGTTCGAGCATGCTTATTTGCTTGGTCCAGTACCTTTGGAATCGTTCGAGCCTCCGATCATCCTCAATGTAACCAGTGTGCCAAACGCACGAGGCATATTCAAGCACAGGTCTCATGTGCGTTTTAAGAAAGAACAACATGAATTCCCGAGACCGACAGACAGTAGATTTGAGGAAACTGTGCCCAAGACCAGCGACCTTGCGAGTGACAGATGATATGTGGTCGTGGAACTTCAGTGAGTCATCAACGATGACCCCGAGATCGGTATGGGACTTAGGAGTAGGTAACTCTTTACCATCTAAGACGTAATGGGGCGAGGCATGCTGTCTCCTAGAAAACCGGAGCACCACGCATTTGTTAGGATTCAGGCGAAGACCCCAAGACTTGGAAGTGCTGGACAGAGTGTTTATATCAGTCTGAATCTGTCTTTCTAGCTCGTGTAAACCAGATAAGTCTCTGTGTGTTTTACCGCAAGCATAAATCTTTAAATCATCAGCAAAGATTTTGTATTTGCAACTGAGGCCGGAGGCGACAAAGTTGATATAGACAAGAAACAACAAAGGCCCCAACACCGAGCCCTGTGGGACTCCGCTGGTGACAGGATTAGAGCTACTGAGTTTGTTGTTTACACTGACTCTCATCGTTCTGTTGGAAAGAAAGGAGGATATCCAACTCAACACCTCTCCTGCTATGCCCAAGTAACTGAGTTTCTTAATCAGAACTGCGTGAGGTACTACATCGAAAGCTTTACTGTAGTCAAACAACACCATGTCCACAGCCCTCCCCTCATCAACTCCCCCTGACACCTCCTCATAAGCCAACAAGAGCTGTTCTGCCGTAGAGTGACCAGGACGGAATCCAAACTGGTGGGACGACAGCAATGACGATGAATCGAGATAATCATAGATTACATCGCAAAGTACACGTTCGAGTCTTTTACATGTAACGGATGTTAGGGACACGGGGCGGTATTTAAGTGGATCGAGTCGCAACCCCTTCTTAAAGATTGGAATAACCACAGAATGTTTCCATGCCTCTGGCAATTGGCCCTCCCTCAATGAACGAAAGTATATAGCATGAATTGGCTTAGCCAAAGCACCGGCACAATTCTTGAGTACAAGAGGATGTAATCCATCGGGACCCATAGCTGAGTTGCCATCCGTGGCTGCGAGCAAAGTCATTACATCTCCCACAGTCAGTTGGATATCCTGCAAGTGATCATCATGTCTCTGCCCTAGAGAAAAAACCATTAGCAATGGTCTAATGGTCTAATGGTCTATATGGAAATTGAAACCCTAATGGTCTAATGGTTTGTGGTGGTCTAATGGTCTGATGGTCAGATGGGCTAATGGTCTAATGGTCTAATGGTTTCTTATGGGCTAATGGTCTGATGGTCTAATGGTCTGATGGTCTAATGGGCTAATGGTCTGATGGGCTAGTGGTCTAATGGTCTAATGGTTTCTTATGGCCTAATGGTTTCTTATGGCCTAATGGTTTCTTATGGTCTAATGGTTTCTTTGGTATGATCACCATACCACAAGAAACCATTAGACCATAAGAAACCATTAGGCCATAAGAAACCATTAGACATGTTTTCTGATAGTCTATGGGTTACCAATGGTCGCAATGGTAACAATGGTTTTTGGTGGTATCTTGTTAAAACATTCATATGGTGCAAATCTGATCTATTAACATTGACATTCCACATGGTAATACATGACATAACAGTCCCCAGCATTCATTTGTTTCCGCCATGTTCGGTCCCATGTACTATATGTACAGGCACGGATCTTTTTCAGCCGTGTATATTTTCACATTTGGAGCCTTGTCTTTTTTCCAATGAAGGTCTAGGAATTTTGTTTCATTATGAATCGGGATCACTTTCAGTGTATGCTCCGCCTGTGTCTTCTGCCCCTCGCTTCATCATCTGTGTCCGTAGTTAACCTGTAACAAAAGTGCACCTTTACATGGTTGTCTTACCTATAATTGTTAGTTGAGCTTTACATTTTTTTTTTTTACTTTTTTATACTTTTGATTATTTGATCATAAGTTGAAATTTTTAATTTTCGATAAAAAGGAGAACTGGTAAATGCACAGGGTGGCTCACGTAAAACACTTGATTTAAAACTTGAATAACTTCCTTCAGTCTTAATTAAATTGGAAGATATTTTCACACAATGTAGGTGCATATGTTTGGGATTATATTCATCCAATTTTCAGACAAATCCATTCACTTTCAGCTCAGTTGTGCATCTCGACGTGACCCCATCGTTTTCAGTAACTTTCTTGAGGCGCTCGTGGTATGCCAGCGTATATTCCCTGCGCATCTCGACGGTGATCCCTGCAAAGGCGGCGATCTAACCCGACCTTACAAGTTACAACTCCAGAATGCTCGCCGACCACGTCACGTATACCTTCGAGTTCATAAACCCCTATATTAAAAAATCACAAGGGGTGAGGTCGGACTTGACTTAACCTGCCCCGGCAATACCCTGGTTACCGCGCTTGCCCAATCTGCTTTGCCGAATCTGCCCTGCCCCAGCCCATCGCGCACGGCCGACCTCACCCCGCGTGACTTTTTCATGTAGGGGTTTGTGGAGTCTAAGGTATACGTGACGTGAGTCAGCGAACATTCTGGAGTTGTAAGGTCGGGCTAGAGCCGCCTTCCCAGGGATCATCGTCGATCAGATGCGCAACTGCACGGAAGCCGCGCTGGCATTCCACGAGCGCCTCGAGAAAGTTACTGAAAACGATGGGGTCACGTCAAGATGCACAACTGAGCTGAAAGTGAATGGATTTGTTTGAAAATTGGATGAATAATCCCAAGCAAGCACCTACATTGCGTGAAAATAGCTTCAATTTGAAAGCCTCACGTGAATTTTCATACGGCCTGTAACATATGCACTATGTACCTATATTAGGTACATTAAACATTACTTACTTTTCAGTTCTGATGACAATTTTTTGGGGGGGTGAGCCTTTGCTTCGTCTCACACCCTTGAATCCGGTTCCAATGTGTGCAGGTGACTGACCAGTCTGCTCTTCCCCCTCCTCTCGGTTCTCGTGGCGCTTCCTCTCCTGCTGGCGGTGGGTCTCTCGGGTCTCTCTACGACCTCACGGCGACGCTCAGCGTTCCGCAACGCTTCGGCCTCGCGCCGCGTCTGCGCTAGCCGTTTACGGCGACGGCGCTGGGCAACGGCGTTCGCATCCCGAGCTTGGCCCGCACGGCGAGGCATCTCCAAACGTTCTCACGCACACAAAGTAAACACACTTTAACTACAAAGCACTACATAATTAATAACACTTATGGCGGTAAAAAACAGCGGAATCTTTCTCGGGTAACACCGTTTCACCGATAACCTATCATATAAAGCAGCACAGAAGGATGCGAATTGTAAACAAAAATTTCACAAGCGGTAAATAAAACTGAAAAGATTTGCCCATTGTTGCTATTCATTCTTTATTATTCCTTAAGCATCCTCGGAATTAGGCGAGTTGTGCTCTTTAACACACTGGTTCCTCTGAATCAGGTGATTTATTGGTGAGTTACTGACAATGATGTTTCATGATCTCCCAGGCAGGAAAACCGCATAAGTTACCGCAAAACGCGGTATGCGGCATTCGAATAACCGTAAAAAAATAATGGAGAAAATGCTTCTAAAATACTAATAGGTCAATAATAGGTCAATGATGTAAAAGGCTAGTTATATCTTAAAATACTATTAGGTCAAAGGTCAGGTCACCAGAGGTCATCAGAAGATCAAATTTTGCCATTTCTTAACCCTCGCCCGCACATGGGGGGGGGTGGTTGCCACCCCCCCCAGGTAGTCTTTCTGCTCTGCACTCAACATTTTTAGAGCTAGAAGGCTGATTTTTCGTATAGCTGCTCCTCTATCCTTTCTTGATGTCCACTGAAAATTTCAAGTTTCTGTGGTTTTTGGTTTCGGAGATATGACCTTGTTTTTCAGGTCATGTCATGACCCAAATGGCCAATTCTCAACATCTTGCGTTGGCTATGGGCCTTGTGAGCTTTTGACACCTTGATTTCGGCCTTTTTTGCCAGTCTTACCTCCAACCTATCATGGAACATGTTGTTCGACGATGTACAGATGTCAAGGTCAAGGTCAAGGTCAACCTAGGTCATCTAAGATAATTGCGTTTTAGGCAAGCGGAAATTACTTTTTGTGAAGTTTTTTGACTGCATTTTTGGTAAAAGCTTCTCAGATCATGATTTCATGAAATATGGACACATAAACAATCGGTGCACACATCAGTATACACACAGGCACACACAGACATACAAACACATATAATTGACCTTGACCTAGCTTGACCTGAAATGACCTCAGCAGCAAAAACCTGGTCGGATAGAGTGACAAAGAGGTTCTAGGTGGGCTGGCACCAGAAAACGGCATCGTCATCGGTATATGATAAGCAGCGCACTTGATATCCAACGGTGACCCAAAACAGCAACATTTTTTAGTTTGACCTGACCTGGAAGGTCAATGACTGACCTGAGAAGGTAAAACTGGGTATCATTGGATTCGTCTCTTCCCAAAGAATCTTTTTGGTCTTTACCGCTAAGCTCTATCTCCAACAGGAACGAAATGGCGCGGGGGGGGGGGTGGCAACCACCCCCCCCATGTGCGTTCTAGGATGGGAAAATGGCATGTGCGGGCGAGGGTTAACAAATTTTGCAAACCGGAGCAGAACTCGGGAGTCGGGAGCCAATAAAGCCTGCAACGCCGCAGGAAAACGGATTCGATAGCTCTTTTCGAGTAGGTAGTAAAGTAATCTTGGCTCTTTTAACCCACGAGCCGCTACAGGGGGGGGGGGGGGGGGGAGGGCATAAAGTTGCCTCGTATGTTTTGTGTGATATCCTCTATATTCAAAGGATGTCATTTGGTCCGTTATATTCAGTCTAATATATCGGACATATCGTAAGAAAGCTCACCTAAAATTGGACTTTTGACGTCACTGTTACGTCATTTCAAATGGTATCCACACCAAATTCGGACACAACCTCGGCTAGCTATTCAGGAATATGTGTGCAAACTTCTGAGTATATCGACAAGGCTTTGCTTCTCTATCTCTTCGCGTTACGATGATATTGCCGCAGAAACAGGGCAACTATATGCTTCCTCCCCCCTCCCCCCCATTGCCCGGCGGGTGGGCGGTGGCGCAGAGGCCCAGAAGCCGCCGGGTTAACCCTTTTTCATGTGCCCTCAGCTCTGAACTAAATGAAGCCTCCAGAGGGCAAAAATTCTAAAATAGCTATCTTTATGAAAAATGTTATGAAAAAAAAATAATGGAGAAAATGCTTCTAAAATACTAATAGGTCAATAATAGGTCAATGATGTAAAAGGAAGCCTCCAAAAGGAAGCTGAAAAATGTGTTCTTTCATAACTTTTCTCTGAAACTCTGAAAGTTTCAAAGCGATCGTTCAGACCGCTGTCGATGCAGCACTCCTTATATAATAAAGCACAGTTAGTGTTTGACAACATATTCAAGATAAATAAAAAAGCCATTACAGGACCATTAAAAACCATTAGAACACCATTAGACCATCACAATTTTGAACCATCATAAATGAAAAGATGTCATCAGAACACCAACAGAAACCATAAGAATACCCGTTTGGAGCCCAAAATCAAAACAATTGAAAACCATTAGGAAACCATTAGACCACCAAGTATACCATTTGAAACCATTAGCGACCATCAGAAACCATACCAATACCATTAGAGACCATTAGACCATTAGACCATCAGATCAAATTCCATTAGAAACCATCAAACACCATTGGAGACCATAAGAAACCATTAGGACACCATTAGAGACCATTAGAGTACCATCAAATTCCATTAGAAACCATCAAGCACCATTGGAGACCATTAGAAACCATTAGGGCACCATTAGAGACCATAAGAGCACCATCAATTTCCATTAGAAAACCATCAGAAACCATTAGACCATCAGCTCAAATTCCATTAGAAACCATCAAACACCATTGGAGACCATTAGAAACCATTAGGACACCATTAGAGACCATTAGAGCACCATCAATTTCCATTAGAAAACCATCAGAAACCATTAGAATACCATTAGAGACCATCAAAAACCATTAGAGACCATTCAAGACCATTAGAAACCATTAGAAACCATTAGAAAATCCTAATGGTTTCTAATGGTTTTTTCTCTAGGGTGGTGAGGTGCTTGGTTGACTGGCTCCCAACGTTAACTAACGTTAAATGTTTATATTTATTAGCTATAGTCAAGCCTCATGTGTCAACCCTAATCACTGTCCACGCCTATTTCAATATTTATAAGGCGATAAATACCGTTGTATTCTTATATAGCCTTGGTTGTATTCATTCTTCATTCCTTTTCCATGGTCATCGTAATTGGCGCGCTTGAGACAATATGTGAATTTTTTGGGGGTTGTAATTTGATTGCGTCAAGAATTAATTTTAGCTTTATGCGAGATTTGTTTTTTTTTTTTGTATGGTATAAAATGACCATGAATTATTCATTGATGACAACAAAAATATGAAATGAATAAATAAATGATACAATTTGGGGTCATAGATTGTAATAATCGTCATCAAAATAGATTTCTCTTTCCAAAGTTCAGCCATTTAAAACACAAATCCTTAAACCACATGCAGAAGAATAAAGTTAGATAATAATTGACGTCAAAAGATTAAAACAAATTTTGGAACAAAAATTGGAGAAAGTTGTATGATATTTGCTCATAAAAGTTTGTTTTTGGTGCAAATGAAAATATTAAAATAAAAAATAGGAAAATCATCCAAAACAAAGGATAAAACGGCGTGCTATGATACAATATTTTAAAAGCTCATTGGACAATTGATATGACGTCACAAAGCCGCAGTGGGATGGTAGCTCAAAATCGTTTCCCAAGCCGGCAGGCTGCCTACGTGTGATTTTTTGTTGATTCTTTGGAACCAAACAAGAAGCCACGGGGCGATCACCGCGTGTCAGTGTGAAGAGCATATATTTTATTAATATTGCTGCTTATTGCAATTGAAGAACTTGAGCTGAATAGAGTGAATCATGGTATGTATGTTTTTCTTAGGGTTCGGATCGTTGAATGCCTAATGCTTAAATTTTGCCTCGCCTACTATAAACTGATGTAAACTAAATAAGCTTTATGTAGGTGTATGGTGGTTTTCATTTTGAGAACATCATGCCATTGGATAACTTAATTTAGAGATTGTTTATGTAAATGCCAGTTAAACGCCTTTTGGGCGAAGAACGAGGAGCAAGATATGGAGCCCTGGATGTGCGGAAGGGTGAGAGGGTACTTCCATCCGGCCTGCTCAAAGCACCCTTCTAATAGGTCATTAGTGGTGTGCCGAATCTGGACTCAATCGGCCCAGCAATTGATGAGATCTAGAAGCGGCATGATTAGTGAACATGAACACTGTGAACATGATTAGTGCGATGGACAACGGAGGACTGGCCGGTATTAGTATACGTGAGGTCCGAGTGGCGAACCGATTATGAAAAGCACACTATACGATGTATTTTGACCTCCTGATTTCATATCTGATAGTTATTTATTCTGGAAACAAGTATCAAAGCAACTATGGAATACTTACAATTACCGCAAGCCGCTACCGCACTCCACGCTAGCGCAATGTGCCGGACGGCGATTACTTACGCAAAGCTGGCCAAGGTCGAGTAAATCAAGGATGATATATATCACAGTTGCTATTCAACTGTGAATAATGACGTCATAATATTTCTCGCGGCGAAGCAGCGCAGTGCCGAAGGCAATGCCTTAGGAGAGATTACAGGCAAGAGTAAATCAAATATTTTTAGGTTAAGTGGTTATGTATCTGGCTTCAGGCCGAAGGCCTGAAGCCTGATGCATGACCACTTAACCTAAAAATATTTGATTTACTCTTGCCTGCAATCTATTCCTGCAAGTAACTTTTTCCTTATCTCCGGTAGGCAAACATCAGTAGGTTAGGTTAGGTTAGGTTAGGTTAGGTTAGGTTACGTTACGTTACGTTACGTTACGTTACGTTACGTTACGTTACGTTACGTTACGTTACGTTACGTTACGTTACGTTACGTTACGTTAGGTTAGGTTCTTGTTTTTTTTTAATTATTACGTCACTTTTATAACACCATTTGTATCGTTTTCTTTTTCCCCACCCAAAAACCCCGGTTCCCAAAATTTCCCCCGAAATGGCAGCAATCCAAATATGGCAGCGCTAGAAACGCCCACGTTTTTCATTCGTCGCGTGTTAATGCCGCCGGGTGGTATTGTAGTGAAATGGGTTGGTGATTTGGTGTTTTTTCCACGTTTCCAGTACATGTAAGTATCATTTTTGGATTCAGGATGTCAAAGAATGTAAGAATGTGAAAACTTTATCTTTTAACAGGCACTCGGACCTTATGTATACTTTTACCGACTGGCCTTGTGAAGCTATGTGTCCTACCCCAAGACTAGACAAGACAAGATTTTGTGAACATAGTTGTGCTGCACATTAGACCCGTATCACACATTCCGCAATCCCAAGTGTATCAGAGACCACTCGGATGCTGTTTAATTCTGAAGTTTTTGTTCTTTTTTGTTTCAGCTGGACATTGAGCAGATGAGCCGTTTTGTTTCGCCGGTGAACCCCTCCATCTTCCCGCATCTCACAACCCTGCTTCTGGGAATAGGCATCTTCTACACTGCCTGGTTCTTTGTGTATGAGGTGAGTAGCAAGGTGGCTTGCAGCTGGAGCTCTTTCCAACTGCATAGCATTATGTTGTTTTTATCTCTGTTTACACACAAAGTAAAAGCTACATTAAGAAGGATAATTACTTTCATTCATTAGGTCTATGATTTAGCACTGTATGAAAATATGGTAGTTCGGAATACAGTGTATGGTCAGTCCACAGCAGAAGTAATGTGCGGTTTCAGCCATGGGTATGTTCTGCTTCTGAAGCTTAGGAAGGATTAGCCAGACTACATTAAACTTTGAATGTAGCTTACGTGCATTGTCACCCTTGCAGCTGCAACTTTATCTATTGACTTCTTCTTTTCGATCGCTCCGCATTGCAAAATCGCCAGTCAAAGCCATCCGTTGGTAAAACCGCACATTACTTTAGCGGTGGGCTGTACCTGTATGGCGTAAGGAAGTGTGATGCACATTCCCTAGTATGGTGTATGCATGATATATAGTAGGTAGTATCGTTGTACGGTGGTCCGGTAGTAAGGCAGTACCGAAGTACGGTACCTAGTACTGAGTTTGGTAATGCGGTGTAGTGTGTACGATAGTGCTTTGTGCGGTGCGGTAGTACGGTGTATGTAGTACTGTGTACGGTAAGGCGTTTGTACGGAAGTACAGTTTATGGAAGATCGGTGTGCGGATATGAGGGCGATTTGCCGCGGTACGGTGTACGCAAGCATGCTGTCCGGTACTATGGTGCACGGTAGTACGTTGTACGGTAGTGCGTTTTACGGTAGTGCGGTGTGCGGTATACGGCAGTAAGGTGTGCGGTGCACGGTAGGACATTGTACGGTTGCACGGGGTACCGCCGCCAATTTGTTTTCGAAGCGCCGTTAAAAGCATACCTACTGTTGTAGAAGCACATTGCACATGTTTTATTAACCCTCGCATGTGTGCGGCGTTTGCCAGCTTCTAATGTGTAGGGGGGGGGGGGTCGGTTGGACCCCCCCCCCCTTGCCGTTTGGCCCCTGATCGAGCTAGAGCTTCGCAGAAAAAACGAGCGTGTTGCCCGTGACGAGAGGAAGCCGATGATACCCAATTTTAAGGTCCTAGGTCATTGGTTGACCTTCCAGGTCAGGTCAATGACCCAAAGTCGGGAAAATCGGGACCTGTTAGAAAGTCGTAAAGTGTGGCTGCTAAGGGGTTTTTCGGGGTGCTGATCACGAATATCGTGTTAGTTTTGATCACAGATGATGTCTTGAAGCATTTAGACCAGGTCAGGTCAGGTCAGGTCAACCAGTAGGCGTCGTGACGGGTATTCGTAGTACGTGTCAACCGCCTCTGACAGCTTCGTAACATGTTACGAAGTCACCAAAACTACTTCGTAAATGTTCAAATGGTTGCTAAATTCGAATTCAGCTCCAAAAACTAGCCTAGAAACATGTATAACTCGAAAAAGTGAACCGAGGTCACCCGAGGTCACCAAAGGTCAATGACCTGACCTGACCTTCAGGTGACCTTGACACACACGGGAGTAACATCAAATCACATGTTTGAACGTTTGAAACCACGAAAAGCTTGCAAACACGCGGCTAGTGCGAGCCGACATACGCGAAATCGCGATTCCGGCCAAACATGGTCTCGGAAAAGAGGTCACAGGTCAAAGGTCATTTGGGTCAGGGTCATGAAATTTTCAGGGTAGGTGTAAAATTGATCAATGCGAGGGTACTGAAAGTTTCGTCGCGATCGGCCGCTTTTTACGCGAGTTATTCGCGAAAAACCATGGGGGGGGGTCCATCCGACCCCCCCCCCCCCCCTACACATGCGAGGGTTAAGTTAGGGGCATGTTCTCATCAACGGTTTGCTATATGTTTCATGTTGTTTGCATTTTTGCAGCTTCATTTGTTTATATTGACTTGTATTGATTTGGTTGTATATTTTGCACTTCCCCATATAATCTTACTGTTCTCTGTCGCAATAATGTTCCTGGCCATTTTCTGCTGTCATTTTTGCAGGGTGTTACAGGTCCAGCCACAAACCATTCTCCTAAGAAGAGTCGTGACGCTCACGTAATTTATTTTTTGTTTGAAATTCGCCTTACGCCTTGCGTTATCTATTTGCTTTGCACGTCTGTGTGTGTGTGTCCCCCATTGGAAAAAGCAGTTAGCCTTTAGATCGATTGGGATTTACAGTGTATTCACCGATATTGTTATTATGCACACCACAACGCTCCTCAAATGACGGAGTCGCTAGACTTCCTGGGTTGGTTGATGGTCGCACCACCAGGCACCACCATGCAGTGCATGCACATTATTGCACCCAGCACCCGAGTCACTTCGAGCCCAAACGTGTACACTGGGATGAAGAGCTCCTGCCTGTCACTATTAGCATCCCCGAGTGTATGCACCTATCACCTGCGCCTCTATTTGAGTTTTTCTGTCGCTGTTGAGTGTTAGGACTTGTTAACCCGCGCGGGGCTGGGGGGGGGGGTAAATTTTACCCCCCCTCGCGAATGTTTGCGATATCTCAAAAACGGCGGCGCGCAGCGCCGCCAAACTTTCAGTACCTTTTCTTACATCAATTTGACACGTTCCCTGAAAATTTGAGCGAAATCCGTCGGAAATTTTTTGAGACATTGACGTTTTAGTGACGTCATGTTCGCCATTTTCGCCTCAAAAACGGCAAAAGTTCAAACGCCGCTAACATCTTCATTTTTAAAGGAATCAAGACGTAACAAAAAAGATTATACGTAATTTTACTTTGTCTATCAAATGGCTATCTCGTTTTTTGAAAATTTTGGATTTTGGCCTAAATTTTTTCAAAAAACTTACTTTTTTGGGAAAATCAATATAAAATCCAAAATTTTGAGTCTATCGAAAAAACCGGAATATATGTCAGAGAAGTGGTCTATGTGCACCTACATACCAAATTGTAGAAGAAGCGGTTCAAAAATGTGGGAGTTATTCAAAATTTTATGACGTCACGACACACAAATTTTTTGAAAAATGACTTTTTTGGAAGTTCTAGACCTCGTACGGAAACAAAAATAGCACCATTCGATTCGTCGTGAAAAACTGCATCAGATAGACACCTTTTTAGGCCTTAACAACCAACTTTAAAATTTGACCTCACTTGACCTGACCTTGACCTGACCTCGACCTGAAATTCATCCAGAGGTGGTCCATATCACTTATTGAGTGTGCCTATTGAATTCTATGAGTAAAATGACCCATAAAACATGTGTCGCACATGCCCTTTTCTATATTTTGTTTTTTGGTGACCTGACCTGACCTGACCTGACCTTGACCTTGACCTCTGAATGATATTGTATGCAACGAATATTGTCTTGGTAGCCTAAGAACACGTTTTGGGCGATCAGTCTCAGTCCATGACTCCATTCTTCGGCAACTACGGTGCAAGGCCGATACTGTAGAAACTTGCAATTTGTACCCTTGACCTGACCTTGACCTTGACCTCAAACTTTAAATTAAGTACATGTTTTTAGTAGTTCGTGATGAGAGCTTTCGATTGGCGTTTGAATTTTCCAAATCGGACCATTAGTTCGGGAGATAACAGGGGGGGGGGGTAAAATTTACCCCCCCCCCCAGCCCCGCGCGTTCGGCTGGAGACCCCAGCCCCGCGCGGGTTAAGTGCTACAATCCATTTGTATCTTCGCAGATCCATGGTTTATATGACACTCGTTGTCAATAGGAACATGCAGAGATTTTAGCGAAAGCAATCAGCTAGCGTATAGGAAAAGGACGGCGAAGCTGTTTTCTACGCTTCTTTTCCCTGTTTGAAATCAAATTTTCAGTTAATTTCCATATCAGAGCGGTAAATAATGCGACAGAAAAAGGAAGCAAAGTCCGCGGCTATGACCTTGACCTTTGTGACCTGCAGGTGACCAGCACCAAGGTGACCCGGGAGCTGGTCAAGGAGCTGGCGCTGGCAGTGATGGCCGCCATCTTCATGGGGGCCGGCACCGTGTTCCTGGCGCTCACAGTCGGCATATATGTCTAGCGGCAGGTGAGTCAAACAGACAACAGTTGGTCTATATTTCTAGCGGCAGGTGAGTTAAACAAAAAACAGTCGGGATATATTTATAGTTGTAGGTGAGCTCTACAGAAAACAATCGACATATATGTCAAGGGGTAGGTAGGTGAGTTGCACAGAAACAATCGGGATATACGTCTAGCGGCAGGTAAGTTATACAGAAAACAGTCGACATAAATTTCTAGGGGTAGGTGAGTTCTACAGAAAACAGTCGGTACATATGTTAGGTGAGCGGTATAGAAAAAAATCAACGTATATGTCTAGGGGCTGTACAGTTGAGTAGCACATAGAACAGCTGCGCTTTGGTCATGAAGAGCAATAGAGTTTCTAGTGTTATTATTGCGGCTCATTAATATGATTTTAGTGGTTTAGATGGCTAAAATTCATAGTTCGTCGTAAAAATTGAATTGTTTTTATAGCAAGTTTATAAGAGTAATTATGAATCAAGTTGGTCATGAATTGAAATAGAACGCATTTGTCATTTTACCGCACCGTCTATTTGTATTGAATCCCTATTGCTTTCTCTCATAGGTCATCAATGAAATCCGAGATAAGTTATAATAAGATAATTTGGAAGACGGAAGTATAGTTTATCGATTAAAATATAACAAAATAGCACTAGCAACTACTAATTTCAGAAAGTCAAGACAATATTTGTTTCTTTTCAGGCATTGAGGTGGTGGAAAGGTTTCTTTTTCAAGTGCACATCAACACGGCGCCCTGTGTGAAGTGAATTGTTTGGCACCATCGCCAACTGCTGTTGGGGCAACACTGAAGTCAAGTCAGGCATTCCATGTGATTTTCATGTCTGCAAACTATGGTTTATGTCTCAAATATATCGATTCGGTATTCATTCTTTCAGAGTTGCTCATACACCTTCTGTAGCAGGTTGTTTTTTGAACTGACGCGTTTACCCGTTTTCACTTATCGTTACCCAGGTTTTAGCATGCTGACGCAGATATCCAGTGATATTTCATATTTGTTCCAAATGGCTGGAGTTTTCTTTCTACAGTTTATTGGCATGTTATCGTAATATCTAAATAGCCACGAATATCATATTTCATTCACATATCAAGGAAGGTGACTAGGTACATCGATAATTCCTAGATTCTAAAACAGTCCGCTAAGTCTAAAAATCCACATCTGAGTAACTATTTGCTAACACATATTTGCTAAAATGCTTCACTTTCGATCATCCGCAACCTCGGCAATACAGTCCAGTCGTATCCTTCCCACTTCCTTCCACTCGTCCGTGACGTTTGGCATGGCAAGTGGCGGCGCTGGTCAGTGCAGTTTGAGGTCGATGTCGAAGCAGCCCATCAGTTCCTCGGTGGTGCCGTCGGTGATGGTGGTCTTGAGCCGGTAGGAGCCGGAGGCCACCTCCTCGGGAATATTCACCGAGCCGAGGTTCACGGGCACGTCATCAGCCTTGATATCTCCCTGCGGGCGCACGGGGGAGGGGTGTGTTAGCTGAGGTGCCGATGTACGGTGGGCGTGCCAATTTATGGACGTCAACTTCTGCACACTGCTGACTGTATTTTAAGAAGTCGTAGGAAAATTAGAGAAGGCGTGATAACTTTGTAGGGAACATGAAAAACACTGGGACCCCGGTCAACGGTCTGACGAGTGATGTGACATCCATAGGTCCGTTTGTGCTCTGAAAGACAGAAGGAGGCGTTATCTGCCGTTCCAAGTGGGCAACCGACGGGCAGAGTAGGCAGGGATATGAGTGGAAAAGGGAAGGGTAGAGACTCACCGGTCCTGCGGGGCAGCCGCACGGCAGGTCGTGATCCGTGAACACGGGCGGGCAGGTGTGGTTGCCCTGCCCGGGCAGCAGGCTGCAGAGGTCGTTGAACGTGCACGTGCCGAACACGCCCTCAATGCACGGCACCGTCACCCACCAGAGCAGGAAGTAGCGCTGTACCTTGAGAGCCACCTGGCGGAGGAGAGCGTGTCAAATACTCCCTCAGAGACACCACACAGTCGTGAGGGCGGACCTCGTCTGGGCCTCAGACTGTCAGTGATATATGTGCGTAAATTAATTGGAGATCGGCTTACCAAAGACAAACAGAGGCTGCTCGGATTTCATTACCAACCATCCAGTCCACATAGCAAAACCGCGGTAGCATTTCTTCAAAATGTGAATGCAACTGTTCAGAAGGGAGCGGAATGATGCATGCTTGCTTTCATAAGCAATAAGTTAGATGTTTTACTCCCGCGTATCAAATTTTACTGAATAGGGTACGGAAAGGAAAACTGAGCTCGTTAAGGTCCGGTTTCCTTTTATCACATGTTCTGTTTATCTTAAAGCATTTACATAACTCCTGGGATGGATCAAGCTCCCGGTCAAAGCCTGCCGGCTGTATCGGTTTCGTCTGAGCCCGTGGTATGGCTGAGGTCTCGGCGACTGTCTGGGCGGGCCGGTGACTGGGGCGGTTCGATGGCTACTGAAGGGGAGTCCTTGCCTTCAGCGGGGCCTTCAGCTGCAGGTGGAGCTCGGCGTCGATGCTGAAGTTGAAGGACGCCTTGAGGTCGATGACGCCGGGCAGTGTCAGTGTGTTGAGCTGGATGGGGTCGTGGTCTGTGCCGCAGTTCTTCACCGAACTGACACTGAGTAGCGGCAGTGCCTGGGGGCGAACAACAGAGGGGAGGCGTCAAATTGTGGGGTTCGAGGCTATGTTTCAAGACTTGAATGACTTTCCCACTTATGTTCTGGGAAACCGATCTTACGATACGATTGCTGGCAAATTTGTGTATCACGTATGAAAGCTTCAACGGTGTGAGAAAACGTTTGCGGAGTCCATTCAAACTTTTAAAGTCGGATAGTTGGATGGCTTCAGCGATTACGGGGGGGCATTGGTCAGGGGGGGGGGGTTAGTCTATTCAATGGGCACTGGTTAGGGGTCAGTCGCTGAATTAATTAGTACAGGCTACAGATGTTTACCGGTTATCTAGTCGCACTTATTAGTCGGTACAGGAGACCGGACATTTCACATTTGATGCGCCTTTGAGTGCAGACTAGAGAGGACACTGGCCAGTGTCCAGCCTCGCCAGTGTGTAACGGTCATCGCTTTTGTGTCTTAACATTTGCCCTCTTCATTTATTTCTTTTCAGATGCACTGGCTTGTGAGATGTGTAACTGAGGCCATAATTGATAGTGCGCCAATCGTGGCGTTGTAAATTCCACGACGGCTGCTTTCCGTCTGTTTAATGTTATGACAAATGTCTTATCGCGTGTCTGTTTACCATCAGCAGACAGAACGTACGCCTACTGCGAGGACAAGAAGCGAAGCGGTGGCGAATAAGGCTCGTTACTGTAAATAAATGTGTCGGGGCCCCGACCGGAATCTCCTTCGACTGAATAATATTCAGTCAGTTGTATTACCATAACATGCGGTTTGCGGGTAGGCTGGTCGTGTGTTCATTTGAACCTTATCCGGCATGATCAGTTCCGGAATGTAATAAGGTTTCGTTTTACATGCATGCGTCTGGTGGGGCCAGAGCCCTAAGAATAATTGCGGTATTTTAATAATGAAATTTGAACCGTACATATTGGACCCTTGGCATTGCATGGTAAGAATTGATCTGGGTCTAGTATCATTGAATTGCCTGTCTTCTGTGTGGTTTCAATCTCACCTCAATACGTTTGGTGCTTTTCTCCCTGAGGCTGGTGCGAGGCAGTTCGTTCATCCGCCTGTCCTGAGGACTGGGCAGCTCTGGGTAGGTGCGTTTGAAGCTGGACTGCTTCCCCTGACCTGCCACGGCCAGCAGCAATACGATGGTGCCGACTGAATGGAGTTGTCTCATCGCTGCTCGAGTCTGGTAGACGCTGACGCTGCGGTGCTGTCAAACTATGACGCGAGCAGAACAGAGCTGCTGACGGCTAATGACGAATGACGCTGATGACGGATGACGTTGATGCCTGCTGACGCTCTCCGGAGATCACTAGCGACGTCTTCTGATGACGCAGAACGCCGAGGAACGACGTCACCAAGCTGCGTGTCGGTCACTCTGACAACCCTCGTCTGACCAGCGGACTGCGTGTGAAGCGACCTCCAGCAGCCAGCGTCCGGCGGTCACTGCGACTACCGGCGGTACGCGGCGGCACTGAGCGGTGGGGTCTCTGTCCGTTCCGGTCCCCGCTGGGCGCTGTTTGCGGCGCGGGCTCGGATATCGCCCGTGGCAGCCTCCAGACGCCCCGCCGGACGTCTCTGCGGCCACTCCGCCCGCGGCGTACCCGACGGCGGCGGCTGACCGTGGTCCGTGACGCCGGTAGAGCCTTGGTGAAGTCGGCGATCATGGGACAGTCCACAATGTGTCCCCACAATGCACAGCGAAGATAAATCATTTTGGTATGTTAGTGCTATTCGTGCTTAGTTCGCATGTTGTCATGCTTTCAGCTTTGCACACCAAATGATTTCCAATAACACAAGAAATAATTGATGGGCTTAGACACTGACATGCCTACGTAAAGCGATAGACTCTATGATTCCCTCCTCTCCAGGCTCCATTGTCTGTTTTAATCACCTCAGGTGCACCAGTGATCACTGACAGTAACTGTGGTTTTTGTGTTGTGTGTTATCGGGGGATGAGGCACACAGAAAACTTAACGAAAGAGGGACTCATCCTGTAGTGGAGAGCAGGGCTGCGGCCAGTCTGAGGCGGAATCGGACTCAGAGCCGGTCGGAGTCGACATGTCTGCCTGGAGTCGGAGTCGGAGTCGCCAAAAGCTTGCAGACTCCCCGCTGGCGGTCCTGGATTTCTACTCCCCTGGCCCCTGGAACCCCGCCCCCCCCCCTTCTAACGCGGCTTCTGAGCCACGTAGCGATGCAGGGAAGGTGGCGTTCGAAAGAGCGTAAAAAATAATGACAAGATTACTTCGGTCACTTTTTGGTCAGGTCAGGTCACCAGAGGTCAATGAAGGCCAAATTTCACCGATTTTCAGGTCGAATCTCGACAATTTGCAGCAACCTACGCATAGCTGATAGCTCGGAAACTAATAGAGCTAGAACGCTGCGGGGAAAAACGCATTTGATAGCCCTATTACCGCTCTTTCTGATGGCGACAGCCGACAGCACTCGGCGCCGCCGTATGGCGACTGCTCCTGGCGCTCACGGACGGAGGACGCCGAGTCTTCATGCAGTGGATCCCAGCGCACTGCGGAATACCCGGCAACGAGAGAGCGGACGTGCTGGCTAAAGAGGCATCCAGCCTGTCGCAAGACGCCGTCCCAACGGACGTCCGCTCGATCGTGAAGGCCGTCGGTCGCTCCGCCACCAAGGCATGGCGTCGCAGCTGGCCAGACAGCTTCTTCAAAACCATCATGGGAGACCGGATGCCGATGCCGGTGCTCCTGGAGTCTCGCGACGAGGCGGTCAACGTCCACCAGCTGCGCGGGGGGGGGGGGGGGGGCACTGGAGCCGCTCGCAGGGCTACCTGCTCAGAATTGGACGCCGCCCCCAGCGCGACTGCCCACAGTGCAGCGACCTGGTCTGCCCGGCGGCGCGCTGCCTGGTGTGTCGCGAGGGCCCGGACACGCCAGAGCACGTACTGCTGAGGTGTCCGTGCTTGGCTGGCGCGAGGCTCCGTCTACTCGGCAATATCAGGCCGGACCCTACGCACTACGCAGCTTGAGCTTCGGGACGGCGGGGCCGTGGCGGCCTTGAGCCGCGGCTACCTCAGTCACCAAGAGCCGTTGGGCTACGGTCGGCCGTGAGCCGACCCGAGGAGACCAACAACAACAACAACAACAACAACAACAACAACATTCAACAACAACAACAACAACAACCCGAGCCGTGCCTCCGGGCTCGGCCCTCACCGCTGCGCTGACGTCACAGGCGGCCCGCATCACCATCATCCAGCCACCGACCCAGACCAGTGTCATACGGTGTGGTAGGCTGTGCCGCTTGACAAGTAAGTGAAGCGGCACAGTCTACCGGTACCAGGTGGCTGCTGCCAATGCTGAGCCATAGGAACCCGGTGGATAAAGAGTTGTAGAACATCAATTTGCCCCTGAGTTGGAGTGTACTGTTGCTCTTATCAATCGCTGAAAGTTTCAAAGCGATCGGTGACTCGGTGTAGCTATGGCAGATGTTAACGAGCATTTTAGCGGTACTCTTGCCTCTATAGCGCGAGCCGTCCTCCGCAAGAAAAAAGACTTAAGCCAAAAATGAGGCCAAGTCGAAGATGAGGAGGAAATGGGGGAACTTGGGATGAAATGTTGTGAATTAAGTGTGAATCAAAGGATCGAAGAATATAAAGCTAAGATTTTGCATTTATGATTCATGATTGATTTAAGATTTGTGAGACCTACTACCGTAAGATCAATGACTAAGTTAAATGATTAAATATACACAACGCGAGACTATATTATCACGAAACCATTTGGTACCAGTGACCCAGATGCGGGGTTCAATATTTAGTTAATATTGAGTTCAAATTAACGTAAGAGTCATTAACGTAATAGCGCACAATGAATGCCGATACTTCCCGAAGAAAGAAGAGAGTCCGCCAATGACATCGAGCCTACTGCCAGAGAATTATTGATGATATCGATGGCCTTTTAAGTGAGGCGTCGCTGGACAGGGACACCCTGCTCGTCAAGGCAGCCAGTTTAGAGCAACAGAGAGAAAAAATCAAGACGTTGGACGACGAGATCGAGGGGTTGGCAGCTGAAGATGATTTACTTGAAGAGATCCAAGACGCTGGCGAGTGTATAGCACGATACGACTTTGTGCTGCTGCAAGTTAAAAAAGCATGCGAACCCAGTTTCGATAGCAGCCCCCAGCCGCCTACGAACACCAACCCCAACAAAGAAACACAACCTCGCCAGCTAAGTAATTTGCCAAAGCTGGAGCTTCCAACATTCTCGGGTGATGTCATGGATTTCTACACCTTCTGGGACCTTTTTAAATCTGCTGTCCACGACAGACACGACATAACCAACGCAGAGAAGTTCCAGTACTTGAGAGCACAACTAAAAGGAGCGGCATTGAAGACCATAACCGGGCTCAGAGTGGCAGCAGACAACTATCCTGTGGCAGTAGATATTCTTCTGGAAAAATATGGAAACACAGACGTCATCATTGATGCCCACATGCTAGCCTTTGTGGACCTGAAGTGCGGTGCCTACTCATGCTGCGATCTCGAAGAATTCCGCACTGAGCTGGAGGCTCATGTTAGAGAACTGGAGGCTCTGGAAGTCCATGCCAGCGAATATGAAAGGATGCTGTGCCCAGTCATGATGGAGAAACTGCCGGTAAAAGCAAAGGAGAATCTCGTTCGTTACCTAGGACGAAAAACAATGGTGCTGGACGACTTGAGAAAATTCTTATCGGATGAAGTTAAAACGTTGAAAGCATCTGAGACGAGAGGAAGACGACCGCCAAGAGCTGGAGCTCCCCAAAGACGAGCAGCAACATATCAGGCGAGAGGAGCAGAGCTGTTGTGTGCTGTATGTGGTGGCCAGCATACTCATGAGAAGTGTCAGACGTTCCATGCCATGAACTTACCTCAGAGGCTGGCCGTCTGCAGAGAAAAAGGTCTCTGTTACCGGTGTTTAGGACAACGGCACATGTCTCGAGCTTGCACCGCATCTAAGAACTGCGAAGTGGGCGACTGCAGAGGAAACCACCACTCTTTGTTGCACGCAGCTTATCGAGACACCACCAAGCAAGAAGAAGCGATCGATCCTGTCATCAACTCTCCCCAGCGAGGAGCCGGGCCCAGAGAAACTTCCCACAGCAATCGAGCCCTGGCAACATCATCCCCGACGCAGTCCGTGGTTTTCCAGACAGTGCCAGTGGTACTGCAAGCAGGAAAGCACAGCCTGATGGTAAATGCATTGCTTGACCCATGCTCGGATGCATCATACGTGAGTGAAGCAGCGGCCGCTGAAATTGGTGTGACTGGTGAGGAGTGCGTGCTCAACCTGACGACCGTTCGTGGTCAGGAGCCAGTGAACATGAAGAAGACGAATGTGTCCATACAAGGCACCGATGGCCGGTTCAAAGCAGACATAACCGCACTCATTACGAAAGATCTGGCAAGCACGTCTGAAGTCTTTGATTGGGCAGCTCTGAAAACGAAGTGGCCTCACCTGAGCGATATAAGTTTCCCAAATGTGTCCAGAAGGCAGGGTGTGGACATGCTAATAGGAGTCAGTCCGCAAACTCTGAGTCTGTTCGTTCCAGAAGAAACGAGGAAAGGTAGAGATGGCGAACCAGCAGCTCTAAAGACGCCTCTCGGTTGGGTGGCGTTCGGACCGATGAGACATGCAGAAGAAAATGGCAACAACATCTCCAACTTTGCTCGCACACTAAGGACGAAAGCTGCACAGCTGGACAAAGAAGACATCATTCAGGCATTTGACAAAATGTCAGATATAGACTGGATGGGTGGCAACAACGAAGACGGCACGCCGACATCACACGAAGATAGGATGGCAGAAGAAAAGGCAGCTGCCAGTCTGCAGTTTTCCGGTGGACGCTACCAGATCGGAGTACCGTGGAGAAGAGGGAGGCCAGCTCTGCACTGCAACTATGAAACAGCCGCCTCGCGGCTTGAGAAAACCGAAAACTCGCTGAAGAAAAAGGGTGGTGACCTTGCCGAAAGATACAACCAAATACTTGAGGACTATGAGAGAAAGGGCTACATGAAGAAATACAGTTACGAAGAGTGGATGGCTGGCGGCGGCGGCGGTTGGTTTCTGCCTCACTTTCCAGTAGTGAGAGAAGATAAATCAACCACGAAACTCCGTATCGTCTATGACGCGGCTGCGACGAACCAGGGGAAAAGTCTGAACTCAGAGATATATCCAGGACCCTCTCTGTACACGGACCTCACAGAGATCCTGCTACGCTTCAGACAACATTCGGTGGCTCTTGTGGGAGACGTAGCTGAAATGTTTCTGCAAGTAGAGCTCCCGCCCGAAGATCGTCAGTACCACCGCGTCCTGTGGAGAAACTTCGACGTCAGCCGGCATCCAGACATCTTCGAAGCACAACGCTGGCTGTTCGGGAACGCGGCGGCCCCGTTCTGCACCCAGTACGTCATGAGAGAGCACGCGAAGAAAAACGAAGAACAGTACCCGATCGCCTCCCGAGTGATCTTGGACAACGTATATATGGATGATGCATTGGCGTCATTTACAGACGAAGATATCGCTTTGGAAGCGCAGCGCGAACTCAATGAACTCATGCAAGGT